TACATACATAGAGCATGATTTTGCGTATCAATTCAACTGAGAGATATAACCCAGTATGCAGGTGATGAAGGTATATTGCTGCATAAGTAAGGGAAGTTGACGATTGAAAAGTTAAAGTCATCACGTTTATCATAAAGCTTGGTTGTTAGATTACTATTAACGTCTTATTCAAGTAAAATATCCAAATATGAAACAGATGTGTCAGACTCTGTGGTATCTTTATCTCAAGCTCACCAGGATATATCGTATCGACATAAGAATGGAAATAACCATTGTTAATTGACAATACGTCATCGATATACATTTGTATCTAAATGTCGAGTTGAAGGCCACAACAAGTGTTTTCTTCTTTTCATGTATAAGATTTTGGACAAATTCTGCTTCATAGGAATACAAAAAAAGGTCTGCTAATCAAGTTGAACTCAATTTTAAATTTAAGTGACTTAAGAAGAACAACTAATTTAACTATACGTACTGGGTTGATTTGAAATTGTGTACTTTGGAGCTGTATTATTGCTGTTAATCTTTAATTATACAACTGAATTTTTATAAGATGTGCATTTCTATAAATCACAATGTTGTTTTATTTGCAAAAAAGTATAAGAATAAGCAACTAGGATAATGCAGGTGCTCTGGATCATCTTGTGTAATAACAATTATAGTGTCTATCACTATCATTTAAAGATTGTCATGTCAAACAGTGTTAAACTTGTATATAAAAAATCTAACAAGATAAAATAAAAGGTTCATCACATACAGCAACACAGTCAAATACATGTATGTATAACTTACTGATCTCTACTGAATCCTTATATATTTTGAACTATTATCATATATCTTATTTGATTGATAAATTAAGATTTTTATGCCCCAATATCGAAGATTCGGGGGTGTATAGTTTTTGCCCTCTCCGTCCATCTGTCTGTTTGTACGCAAAAACTTTAACCTTGCCCATAACTTTTGATTGGTTAAAGCTATGGCTTTCATATTTCACATGCGTATTCCTTGTGAAAAGACCTTTCTTGGGTACCACCATATTTGACCTTTTGACCTTGGAGTTTGACCCAGTTTTGCAAACTTTTACCAAACTTTAACCTTGGCCATAACTTTTGAACAGTTGGTGCTAGGGCTTTCATATTTCACATGTGTAATCCTTGTGACAAGGCCTTCCTTTGGATACCAATAACTTTGACCCTTTGACCTTGGAGTTTGATCTACTTTTGGAAAACTTTAACCTTGGCCATAACTTTTGAACGGTTGGTGCTAGGGCTTTCATACTTCACATGTATAATTCTTTGACAAGGCCTTTCTTTGGATACCAACAACTTTGACCCTTTGACCTTGGAGTTCGACCTACTTTTGGAAAACTTTAACCTTGGCCATAACTTTTGAACAGTTGGTGATAGGGCTTTCATATTTCACATGTGTAATCCTTGTGACAAGGCCTTCCTTTGGATACCAATAACTTTGACCCTTTGACCTTGGAGTTTGATCTACTTTTGGAAAACTTTAACCTTGGCCATAACTTTTGAACGGTTGATGCTAGGGCTTTCATACTTCACATGTATAATTCTTTGACAAGGCCTTTCTTTGGATACCAACAACTTTGACCCTTTGACCTTGGAGTTCGACCTACTTTTGGAAAACTTTAACCTTGGCCATAACTTTTGAACAGTTGGTGCTAGGGCTTTCATACTTCACACGTGTAATCCTTGTGACAAGCCCATTCTTTGTATACCAACAACTTTGACCCTTTGACCTTGACCTTGGAGTTTGATTTACTTTTGAAAAACTTTAACCTTGGCCATAACTTTTGAATAGTTGGTGCTTAAGGGCTTTCATATTTCACATATGTAATCCTTGTGACAAGTCCTTCCTTTGGATACCAACATCTTTGAACATTTGACCTTGACCTTGGAGTTCGACCTACTTTTGGAAAACTTTAACCTTGGCCATAACTTTTGAACAGTTGGTGCTAGGGCTTTCATATTTCACATGTGTAATCCTTGTGACAAGGCCTTCCTTTGGATACCAACAACTTTGACCATTTGACCTTGGAGTTGACCTACTTTGGAAAATTTTAACCTTGGCCATAACTTTTGAACAGTTGGTGCTAGGGCTTTCATACTTCAAATGTATAATTCTTTGACAAGGCCTTTCTTTGAATACCAACAACTTTGACCTTGGAGTTCGACCTACTAACCTTGGCCATAACTTTTGAACAGTTGGTGCTAGGGCTTTCATATTTCACATGTGTAATCCTTGTGACAAGGCCTTCCTTTGGATACCAACAACTTTGACCATTTGACCTTGGAGTTGACCTACTTTGGAAAATTTTAACCTTGGCCATAACTTTTGAACAGTTGGTGCTAGGGCTTTCATACTTCAAATGTATAATTCTTTGACAAGGCCTTTCTTTGAATACCAACAACTTTGACCTTGGAGTTCGACCTACTAACCTTGGCCATAACTTTTGAACAGTTGGTGCTAGGGCTTTCATACTTCACACGTGTAATCCTTGTGACAAGCCCATTCTTTGGATACCAACAACTTTGACCCTTTGACCTTGACCTTGGAGTTTGATTTACTTTTGAAAAACTTTAACCTTGGCCATAACTTTTGAATAGTTGGTGCTTAAGGGCTTTCATATTTCACATATGTAATCCTTGTGACAAGGCCTTCCTTTGGATACCAACAACTTTGACCTTGACCTTGGAGTTCGACCTACTTTTGGAAAACTTTAACCTTGGCCATAACTTTTGAACAGTTGGTGCTAGGGCTTTCATATTTCACATGTGTAATCCTTGTGACAAGGCCTTCCTTTGGATACCAATTACTTTGACCCTTTGACCTTGGAGTTTGACCTACTTTTGGAAAACTTTAACCTTTGCCATAACTTTTGAACAATTATGGCTAGGGCTTTCATCCTTCAGATGTGTAATTCTTGTGACAAGACCTTCCTTTGGATACCAACAACTTCGACCTTTTGACCTTTGACCTTGGAATTTGACCTACTTTTTGGAAAACTTTAACCTTGGTCATAACTTTTGAATGATTGATGCTTCGGCTTTCATATTTCACCTGTGTATTTCTTGGGAGAAGGCCTTCCCTTGGGCACCATTAATTTTGACCTTGATGTTTGACACACTTTTGAAAAAACTTTAACCTTTTCCATATCTATTCAATGGTTGCTGCTAGGGCTTTCATATTTCACAGGTTTATTCCTCGAGACAAGACCTAGCTTACTTTGGGTACCAACACATTTGATTTGCATTCGAGAAACTTTAACCTTTGCTATAAGTTGCCATAAGGGGGCATCAGTGTTTCACAAATACATCTTGTTTCTTTCTTCTTTTTAACATTTAAACAGACATGTTTATATGAGACAGAAATCAGATGGTTAATTATTTTTAAATGTTTCAAATGTTAATGATAATTAAAATCGGTTGAAAAGGGTGTGAAATATGTGTAAATGATTATTGAATTAAGTGTCCTATAACTCAGTGTTTTTTTCCTGAACATTAAGAGATAACTAGAAAAAAAGCTTTAAAAAGATTTTAAAGTAATCAAAAGTAATCAGAAATAATCAGGATTACAGGGAGGAAAAGTAATCTAATGTAATCATGCAATTACTTAAACTAGAGTGTTCCAAGGAAGGCAAGTGTCGCCTGCTTTTTAGTTTCATTAAAAAATTGTAAATAAATCTACGAGTGCATAGTCAGCTATTTATTAACTACTAACATTACAGTTCATGCATTTGTCTGCAAAGAAAAAACTACGGTAGATACTGCCATAAGACAGTAATACCTGCACTAAGATATTTGCCCCTAAATGCACACTTTTTCATGTTTGAGTAACCAAGGAAAAAGCCACTTTGTTATAATTTTAACATTGGTGATAACTTCTGAATGAGTGAAAATAGGGCATTCATATACATGTATGACACATGCATCACTTGTTACAAGACATTTCCAAAGTATTATGTTTTTTGAACTCGTGACCTTAACCTTAAAAATCAACCTAGAGTAGTTTTCAAAATTTTAACATTGGTAATAACTTTTGAATGAGAAAAGATTGGGCTTTCATATGTTACAGGTAGATTACATGTGACAACACTTTTCAGAAAGAACTATCATTTTTTACTATTTGAATTAAAAGTTAGGGCCAAGATTAAAGTTTTTTTTAAAAACTGGACCAAACTTCAAGATGAATGGTCATGAGGTCAAAATACAATCCGAAAGGTCTTGTCACAAGCATAGGCACTCCTCAGCTTAATTGTTAAAATATATATCTACTATACTATAAACATAACAAGTGTTATGTTTATAGTATAGTAGATATATATTTTTTAACAATTAAGCTGAGGAGTGCCTATGGTCACAAGTAATGCTCATTTGAAAAAAAAATATGACACTCCAATCTCTTCTAGAGCAAAACTTACGGCCAAAGTTAAGTAAGTCAAACTTCTAGGTCAAGGTCATGAAGTCTAAAGTGATGTTTATATCTAAAAAGGTGTCAGGGGGAAAAAAACCTTGCCTGTGACACTCAGGTGATCAGTAAGGCCTATTGGCCTCTTGTCACAAATATTGATCAAGCATCTCAACGATATGATGATATCAAAGATGATGACGGTTATCATAGGTTCTCAGATGCATGTGGATCTCTGTGTATACTTCACTCAAAAAAATATGTAAAAAAAATTTGTTAAAGACATTCTGACGTCTTACTTCTATATATTTGAGGGTCCTTGTTTATTTTTTTGCTTTTAATATCGATCAGACTTGTCTGCTCTTTTGTTGACAAATAATCTGTTGTGCATCTAAGTAGATGAAAGTATGCATAGTGTGTGGCCTATTTACTTATTCATTGATGACGCCTTTACGTTCATTGATAATCTATGAAGGCCCTGACTCGGTCTATAGTTGTTTAATAGTAAAATGCACTTGAGTAGTAGACCGCCCACCCCGTGTTGAGCATGCGCATATAGCACTACCGTATTATCAGATGTTTCCTCATGGCAGCGGCGAAGAGACTACGTTCGGAATTTTCTCCTAATTGGAATAGTAAAAATGCAGGAAAATCGGGAAAGAGTGGATCTAGAAATGGAGCATGTTATAATGTTGAATCCCTTCTTGACATATGTGCAAAAATTGTGGCTGAAAATATCCCGTTTCAAACAGTAGAACAAAGGTTTGACCGCATTCCTGAGCCCGTTCAGAATAGGATTGTGTACTGGTCGTTTCCCCGTAACGAACGGGATATTTGCATGTATTCATCTTTTGCAAACTGTGTTAAAGATGGAGCAGAAAATCAAAAGTTGCCATTTCATCAAGGAGTAAGGTTATTAGAGAACGGGGCAGTTGACAACGTGTTACAAATTGGTAAGAATCTTTCCTTTATTCACCCCAAAGGGTCGTGAAGTGCGCTTTGACATACTGTTCGTGAAATAAGTGCTGGCGATGGGTATTAGAAATTCATATTTGTTTTTGCCAATTGTAAAAGTATTGACGTTTCTCGACTATGTATAAAAAGAAGAGGATCGAGAAATTAACAATGGCTATTTGTATGATACTTGGAAATAATTTTGATGTCGAGAGATGTTTAGTTAAAGTAATACTCAGCTGTCATTAATGAAAAAATGATATGTATGGAATAGAAGAATTTATTTTTAGAAACTCATGACAAAGTACAGAAGGAATGTGTACTGTATTGAATTATGATATCTATAGATCAATCTACTTTTAAAAAAAAAATTGAAACCTGTATTGTGTGTCACTTGCAAATCATAATTCAGACTTATAGCTCCCAAATATTTAAGTGATTTATTTTAAAATCTCGTTATGTTGCAGGGAAATTTTTCTATAAACATGCAGATTACAACAGAAAAACGTGAAGTAAAAAAAAAAAAATACCGGATCTTGCTGGCTGAATTATGTCCCTTATCACAGTGTTTAGTTTGCTATTGGTATACAGGGCATTGTAAAAGAATTAAAATTTCTTAAGCTATTTTCAACTGAATACTTGATACTATTGAGAGAGCATTCTATTGACATTGTTGGCAGGCTTTGACTAGGGGTTTTCTTTCTTCATGTGATGATGTCATGAAACAAGATATGGCCCACTAGACACTAGTTTAACTGGTCCTCTAAATAAAAAAAAATCAATGCATATAACATGTGAAATGAGGGATCAGAGATAACATTTCTAAGATATGCAAGATATTGAGGCCAAGCCAATACCAGATAATGAATTATAGACTTGGAACAAGTATAGATATTTCAGTGCACAGTCATATTGTTGGGTGTATGAATCAAACCTACCGGAATTTAAATACACTGAAAGTATTAGAATTATCAATGCATTTTAAATCAGTAATACATTTTAGAGTTTAATTGATTCATGAACACTGATAATATTCCCTTGCAATTGTTGTGTTTAGTCTATATGTATATACATATATATATATATAGAAAGAGAGAGAGAGAGAGAGAGAGAGAGGATAAGATGTGTTGAACAGCAGATTTGAAGCCCTTTCATTACTGGAATATTGCATATATCCCCATCAAACTAATGATAAAGAAGGACAGCTGACTATCTTGTACTGGTCACCAGGTCATAAGTTTTATTTTTGTAGCCTTTGTAGCCTTAATACATATGTACAGTTTATCATTGTTAATATGTTTTTATTCAATGCATACCAATACAACCCTTGTATATAATTAAATCTGCTGCCTTTAGGCAGTTATCATGATGAGAGTACCATCACAAATTGTAATAACTTTCTCATGGCTGTTTCCTTCTCATAGAGCATGATGTATGTTTTTAATGTTGAAGGGAACATAATTTTATGAAGCAGCTCATCTATTAATATTAAAATATTCACTCCCTTTTATCAATTTCCATGGGTTTGCATTTTATTATTTTTACCCTAGGGCAGGACTGTTATATAAAAAAAATGACAGAGGTACTTGGGTTTGTATTCATAAACCTTTCGACCACCACTGGAATATTCATGTGTGATGTTCTTTAGACAATATTAAGGCTGCAGGCACTTATTTTTTCTTTTCTGCAAAATCTGTCAAAAGCTTATGAGCACAGTACAGTTTTATTGTCATTGTTCAACAATAGAGCAAATTAAGGTTGCAAAATGGCTTTTTTGCTCAAAAGAACAACATCTGAACTCGACTGAATGTAACTTTGATTTTCATGACAGTAGGGCTGTATCAATATATTGATAAGAATATATTGTATCAAAAAAATAATGTCCAGTACATATCAGGCATGCAGTTTTTCATATAATTCTGTGAAAAAGTTTGGAATTCCAATCGCCAAAGATTATCTTTAACTGTTTTGAATTAAAATCAATAAATAATGATATAATCATAAGCATGATTATGGAGGTAGCACCTTTAGATAATTATTACAAAATACATAGACAACTTTATTCAACATGTTGATTTTACAGTCGTTAAAAGTTTGAATTTGAAGTGTAATTTGTAATGACAGTGAAATAAGAACTATGAAAATGAGTTGCAAAACAATTAGATTTTTTAAAATTCATGCATTAAATGATTTATAAGACTTTTTTGATAGACTTGTTAAAGAATCCAATATATCGCATTATAAAATATCGTATCGTATCGAATTTTTTTTGCTAAATACACAGCCTTACAAGATATACATAATACATACAATATCAAACATAGGTATTTGTGTTTGTGTTTATTAATTTGCATACACTAACTTAGACATCTCCTTTCTTTAATATGTCAAGGATATGGCAAAATTCAAATCCTTTGTAATCAAATATTTCTATTTATTTCTTCCTGCAGGCATGGATTATCACACGTAGTGAACTCAGTAGAATAAGAACTTGAAATTATGTATTTATTTATGATATGTAGTATGCAATCATGGTGTAAATTCATGGAATGCTGGGGTTTTTTTTTTTTGTTGATTTAATTTTGGCTAAATAAATCCCAAGATTGATCATGTTTTTATCATAGAGTCCAAATATTTATCTAGGCTTCCTTTGTGAGATGGCATTAGTCAATGTTAAAAGTTTGTACAGAGAACTGTCATAGTTGTGTCACTCACCAAAACTAGTCCTCATTATCTGGGATTTTTAGATATTCTGCAGATGTAAGTGATGCCATTATTCAGGATCGACTGTCAAAGGAAAAAAAAAATGAACAACACCAAGACTCTTGACCAATTTTATTCAGAAATATAAAGAAGAGTGTTCAGAACTTTTTCTTTGCTATTTGGAGGAGTTTGTGTATTTTAGTTAGAAGGAAGGATGTTTTAGGATGAATTTAGTTTGTTTTTGCAGACTCATCCCATGTTGATTCAGATCTGAAACCAAAAATCCCCCAGAGGAGGGGTTTAAAAAAAAACAGCAAGAAAACAAGAGGTGTGCAGTGGTATCTCTACAGCACATTGTTGTCCTAGTGTTCTTGCATTAACAAATTATCCTGTGTATGGTGGTCTGGAATTCTGAGTGAAAAATTGCTTGGGTGCTTGCAATAATTACTTGCAGGTATTCCTTTAGTAAACAAAATAAAGCCTATGTCTGCCAGAGAGTATACAGCAAAATATTTTGCAGTTATGAGATTGGACCCTCTACTAATGTCTTTATGGCGGGTTAGTTAAATTATTATTATTTATTTACTTATTCATTTTACCTTTTTTTTTTTTTTTTTTTGTTAAACAGTATGAAAAAAAAATCTTGTGAAGAAAAAGTGTGGTATATGCATGGTATAAAGAAAAGATTGCAATTGTAACACTTACAACCCCTGGCCAGTTGTTTACGAAAAAAGAGACTGAAACGTGTGAAATAGAATTCAAAGACTGATTGATGTTGATGTAAGAAAAAGTCATCATGTGTTTTTAATTAATCTAACCCAAGTACCACTACTGTTATTGAAGGGTATTTGATACTCAAAAAAAAAGAGAAGAATATTATTACCCAAGAGTTATTGAAGGTCCCAGGAAGTTGGGATATTTCCTGTTTAGAATGATGCTGGCTAAGTGGTCCTGGCTAAATATCTGGGCCCCATTTTACAAAAGAACTTATGACTAAGACCAATATTGTTAGCTGTTTGTAATATCTTGCCCACCTAATATATTAAATAAGAATTGCTTTCTTAAAAGTTCTTTCAAATCTCTCTTAAAAAAATAATAGATTCTGCTCCTCGGATAGGAACAATAACTCTTAAAAATTATTATTTAATTTAAAAAGTCTCAAAATGAAGCTTGAAATTGATCAAAATCTTTTCTTGAGCAAGGGTTGTTAAGTTAAACACCAATATCAAGACGTTAACGTGGTTAAGACTTGTTTTGAAGGTAAATTTATAGTGTAACAAATAAGATTTTTTTCAAGTTTATCTCATGAAATTAAGGTTTAAAATAGATGTAAATAATCTAACCGAAAAACCCGAAACTGAACAGAAAATTTACAGAATGGGCCTGACTTGAAAAATCTTAGAACTCTGACCGTCATAATTAGCAGGTTGAATGCTTGCAAGAATGTCATAATAGCCCATCAATATTACTTTAGCATGTCTAATTTGTGATGTGGAGGATTTATGAATGAAAAAAAAAATCCTGACATATATAGACAGTTCACGATGAAAAATATGATATATTAATTTCCATGTTTCCTCATTTGATGTGTTGGTGAAAAGAGACCTGGTTCATGACATTTTATTAAAATAAATTGATTAATAATCAATTGTAATCCTTTCTAGTGTGAAACATATTTCATTATCAAATGATCACATTCGTTACTTTAACTTTGTATTTATTAAAATTAATGCACGTAATACAGATTATGAAAATGTTTATATGATGAAACACACACACCTCCGTACTTAAGTTGTGCCTATCAGTCTGACTTTCATATTATGAACAATGAATTATGCAATTATGTTACCCAGGTGGGATGAAAAAATGCAATTATATGTATTAGAAACAAGATAAACATGTAATTGTGCATGTTGTATATCTTATAGTGAAAATCAATTATCAAACAACAGAATTCTGGGTACAGCATGATATGTACTGTACATGATGTTTGGGAATGTCATGACATACACCTCACGGGCTATAATACATGTATATGGCACCTGCCCATCCAGGGTTGTCCCTAAGAACTGAAATAGCCGGGGATATTAAAAAAGTAGAAAGGGGTTTGGGATTCCTCTCCTTACAGAGGGTTGAGGGGGAATGGCAGAATATCAGGGGTTTACATCATTATAGGCGGGAAATTCTCCGGCATCTGGGTCTTAAGGCCAAGATCTAGTAAATGAAGAGTGCCTACAGATTTTTCAAATTTGAGAAATGAATTCCTTTTATAATTCATTACAATTATAGCTTAATA